CTCTCACAGCCATACATTGCTACTGGAAAAACCATAGCTTTGATTATGTGGATCTTTGTCGGCAAGGTGATGTCTCTGCTTTTTAATATGATGGGCTTAAAACTATACTGCTGGGAGTTTATGCCCCAAATGAAGATACAGTGACTTTTTATAAACAATTTATGGAGAGACTTTTCTTATGAAAGTTGGTGTTTGATGGGGGATTGGAATGGAGTGGTCTCCCCCCAACTGGATAGGACTTCTGAAAAAGAATATTAAAATTGCTCAAGGTAAACTACAAAAAGTCTTCTTTGACAGTTTAGGTTTGGTTGATATGTGGAGACAGAAGAATGGCAGTTCAAGAGAGTATACCTATTTTTCAGAAAGACACAGATCTTTTTCAAGAATAGACATGATTTGGATTTCAAGAGACTTAGCCACTAAAATTTCCAAAGTAGAGTTTTTACCAAAGACTTTTTCAGACCACAATTCTGCGAGGTGGGTTTGTAAAATTCAAATTTAGCAAGAAGCTATAGACCAATATTGTTACTGAATAATGATTATAAGTTGTTTACAACTATTTTAGCTGAAAGACAAAAAATAATTTTGCAAGAATTTATTCATTAGGATCAATGTGGATTTTTACCTAAAAGAAAATTAAAAGATAATGTTAGAACTGTGTTGGACATTTTTGAATATTTGGAAGAACATAATGAAAAACAAACTGCATTGGTCTTTTTAGATGCAGAGAAGGTTTGACAATTTGAACTGGATTTTCTTGTTTAAAGTTTTAGAAGATATGAACTTTGGACAGAACTTTACAAAATGGGTGAAATTGATTTATACTTCACAGATGGCACAAATAATTTTAATAGAAATTTAATCATACCATGTGAGATACAAAAAGGAACAAGACAAGGTTGCCCACTGTCCCCTCTTCTGTTAATTTTAGTTCTTTTAAGTATTGAATAGACATAAGACAAAATTAAAGGATTGTGGGCGTAGAGATCAAAAAAGAGTATTATAAGTTGAGAGCTTTTGCAGATGACTTAGTTTTGGTTTTGGCAGACCCTATAAAGGGAATTGAACATTTACTGAGTAAATTAAAAGAATTTGGGGCATTAGCAGGTTTCAAGATTAATTAATTAATTAATAAGACAATTAATTAATTAACAATTACTAAGACAAAGATATTAACAAAAAACAAGATACAAGATTAAACAGAACTGATGAATAAAACAGGTTTAATGATTGAGAAGAAGATAAAATATTTGGGTGTTACTATGACAAATATGAATTGTATGTTATTGCAAAACAACTATGTTAAGACATGGAATGAAGTTAAAAAAGATATGTCAAGATGGGATAAAGTACAAAAGTCACTGTTGGGGAGAATTTCTGTGATTAAGATGAATGTTTTACCTAGCGTGTTATTTTTGTTTCAGACAGTATCTGTTTTGACAATTGATATACCCTTTAAACAATGGCAGAAGGATATACCTAAATTTGTATGGCAGGGGGAAAAAACCCAGTTAAATATAAGATACTAAAAGATGAAAGGAAAGAGGAGGACTGGGCCTGGGACTGGGCCTATTAGATTTCAAATTATATCACACTGCCTAATGAATTTCTCCTTCTTCCCATGGAATTATCTCCAAGGGGAAACAGAAGTCTTTGCCTCAAGAAGAAATGACTTCTAAAAATATTGGGATTTCCAGAAAAGACTGCACAGACATGTTCTTTCTGTGATTTCCTGCAGACACTGCTAGACACCTTAGCACTCCTTGCAGCTTCCAGGACGAAATCCTCTTACCTGTTTCTCTCCCAGCTCCTTCCTCGCTCGCCCTCACATATCAAAGCGGTGGATAGCTTCTGCCTTTTAGGATCAACCACCAACAGTAAATGAATAAGCAGTCAAGAAAAATGCTGCAGACTAGCATTTGGTAGAACAGCAATGAAGGGCTTGGAAAAGATAATCAAATGCTGTGATGTGTCAATACCTACAAATATCAAAACTGTGAAAGCCGTTGTGTTCTCTGTGACACTCCATGGAAGTGAAAGTTGGACTTTGAATAAGCAGGATAGGAAGATTATTGATGCCTTTGAACTTTGTTGGAGAAGACTCCTGAGAATAC